TAATTAATAAACTAATTATTGAATTAAATTATTTAAAAAAATTAAAAGAAATATCATTATATACAAATACAGTATTTTATAGTATTACTCTCCTCCCTTTTTTTTTCTTTTTTTCTTTTTTTTTAAAGATATGAATACAGCACTACTCTTGATGCTTACGTTAAGGATATGTCAAGAGAATGAGCTCTAAAGTTTGAATCTCCACAATAACAACTAAGCATATATATATATATATATATATAAAAGAAATAATGTTCATACATGAGAACTGGCAAGGATGTGCTACAATATTTGTGAAACTACATTTTTAATTTATATTTAGCATTAGACCGCTACACCAAAAACACTTTCAAATGGCAAGAAAATTTTGAAATAAAATTGGTAAGGAAGTGAAAAATAAATTAAAAATTTGAGAAAAAAGGGGTTAAGTGTACAGAAGGAAAAGAAGCAAAAATGGAATAAAAATTAAAAATTGTCAAAATTTATTCGGCCCAAGGTTAAATTGTTTTAGTAACCCAACCCAATGTCGGCCGAAGAAATCACCCAACCCAAAATTTGAAAAGTTCAAAACTTAGGCCTTTTTAAACTCAGAACGTGTCGTACTAGTGCGTGCCGTCGCCGGAAGGAGCTGCAGAAAAAGGAGCCGGAACTGTGAGGAGCGACGGAAGTTAGAGCCCGTTGTTTGCGCTGCATGGTGGTCAAACGACTGAAGAAGAACAAGGAGGAGCCGACCTTATCTCTATACTTCAAGTGAGTTTCTTCGCAGAATTCACCGGTGACTTCGGGTGTATTTTTTTGGATGATTCTATGAAGTTCCATATGTTGATTCCTTTGGAATCTATGATACCCACTTGCCTGCATGATAATTTTTATGGAAAAATATACTTAGTGGAAAAACTTGCGAAGACGGGTGTTGCAAATTGTGAGTCTTAAACAGGAATATAATGAATCGGTGACATGCTAGTTTAATGTTTGATGAAATGCTTCTATGAGTCTTGTGCACTTGTGAGAACCTGAGTTCTTGGAATTGAGTGATAGTCTACGGTATGATGATGTCAATTGATTACGGATTCAATGATACCCTATGTGTATTTGGAGTAAGTCAAATTTAAATTTGTTATTGGTCTGTTCGCAGCATCCACTTTCTACTTATTTTCTTAAACATTAGTTTGACATGTTGAAGTTATTGGAATGAAAGTTAAGAGAGCTGTGAGCAAAAGGTTATGTGGTCTTGGTTTTACATTTGGAGATTAGTGTAAGAGATATCAACATTCTAGTATTTGATTTTGATGTTGTCCTCAGGACCCCATAAAAAGTTTCATATGTTTCAATGTTAGTGTATCTTGAAAGAAAGATTCATGATTATGGATATGGTAATTTGAATTGTCTTGAACTCCTTTTAGTGTCAAATCCATTTTTAGTTCTTCTCCTGGATCAGTTAAGTTGTTAAATTTTACACTTTTTCCTTGAAAGTGTACATCAGAATATGGATGCATGCATCTGGGTTTTGTACAGAACCTAAGAAGTGATCTCATACTTGCAAATATACTTTTAGGTCATCTGTCATTTCATTTACTTGGCCACACCGATACTAGTCAGTTTCTTTTCTCTTATTTATATCTTTCTTCCTTTCTTGTTCAGGGACAAACAAAAAGCAGTTTGCTAAATAATTTTACATATGGACAGTGGAGACTGGGAAAGTTCTTCAGATACTGAGATTGTTTCTCAGGATGATAATGATGAGGAAGGGAATTACTATGCTATTGATTCCAAGTCCAAATTACAATTCAGGTTTGTTTTTGTGTTTGCTTGTCACAGGCAACTGAATTCTCAAAATGATTCAATTAAAGGAGTTGGTTTATAATTTTATCACTTGATTGCATTTGAATTGATTGTTAGGAAAGAAATCTCAAAGGGTCGATGGAATAATAAACTGGGAATGGCTGAGGTTGTAGAAAAGAAGGGGAAGATGTGGGTGACAACAGGGATAGTTCGTGGTGGCAAGATCTATTGCACAATTGAGGAAACTTTGTAGGTGAAAAACAACTTTTTCATTTTGACTTCCAAACTCTTTCATCAGATGGCTTGGGTTGTTTTGTAGTGTGGACTTTAGAGTTTTTTATGTTGTTCCTCTTATGTGGCTTATGAATCTGTGTATGCATCTGAAAAATTTAAGATCAGTTTGTTTAATTTTTTCCTAGTACCTATTAATTTCTGGAATCATTCACCTTGAATACTTTAAATTGTAATACGTTGTTTCTCTTGAAAGAGTCAACAGTATAACTGACAACTTAACTGGCATTTTTTTCTTAGATCTTATTGATTCTCCAGAGTGGAAATTGATTGTGAGGTAGGAAAAATGATCTGGGTACCCCAGTTAACTTACTGAGGGTTTAGTATAAAAAGTGTTGTTACTAACTAACAGAAGATCATAATCTTGGAAATAAATAATGTTAAATCCTTTATTTGTTTTGAGCAGAAATTAAAAAAAGGGGTAATCTCTTTTTATTTTTTCATTGTGATGACTATCTAAAATGTTAAACTTACCCCTTTTTAATTTTTTTTATTTTTTAAAATATTTCTTGTAGGTTTTTGGCTGAAATCGGGGCACTGCTTCTTTTGGATGAAAATGATAAATGTCTTTCCTTGATGGACATATTTGAGAAGGTTGCACAAGAAGATAGTGGGTGCAGTTGGGAATATTTCGAGGTTTACAGACACCTAAAAGCTCTTGGTTATGTAGTTGGTCGGCATGCTGTTCCTTGGACTAAGAAGGATCTTAAAGTTAATGCTGAAACTGTTTTGCTTGATGGTAGTCCAAAGGAAAATGACTCAGTAGAAATGGGTACGATAGCTAAGAATCACATCATTGAATTATTCAATAATATGCATATTGACGAAACAAGGCCAACTTTTGATGTTTATCTTCCAAATAGCAAGTTTAGAAAGTCTTCTCCAGGTGATCCAAGTTTTGCACTCTGCCTATGCAGGTAATTACACATGGATTATTCTAACCATTTGAGTAGCTTCTCTTAACTAGTAATTGAATGAATTCTTTTATTTCACATTGCTGAATACATTTATTCATCTAAAATGCATACCTCTAGGGAACTGCCTTTTTGTTGTTCTAGAATTGTTTGCAATCATATGGTCCATGATTTTTTTTTCCTCCTCTAGAACTTATATTCTATTTGAACCATGATAACTGGATATGTTATAGATTTATTATAAGAGTGCTTTTGTCTTAATATGCCAGGAATGCTAACCATTTGACAACTGTTTTGCTTCTAATTTTCATTATCACTGTGCATTGTGTTGTGCCTTGTGTTCCAGTTGCATTTTTAACTTATTGGTATTCTTTTGTTAGTTTGTTTATATACTTAATTTAATCCATGAGATAATGGGAAATTATCTAAGTTCATTATGTCTTTTGTATTCAACCAATAATATTCACTGATGTTTCTTAATTTAAACAAGTTGTCGATTGCTTTATATTCAAATGAAAGATAAGTTGTGTTACCGATGGAATTCAATGATTAAGGCTTTTTAGGGAATTTACCACTATTGATTCTTCTCTGCACACGGTTTACCACTGTTGGTTTTTCTCTGCATACTGTTTTCCTCTTTAATTTCAATTACCATTCAGAAAATAGTTCATTAGACCCAAGTATCCATAATAACATGTTTCTAAGAAGTGCTTCTTAGTTTTCTACTCTTCTATATATCTGAATTTGAGTCAAATTATTTATTTTGCTATAATCCGTCTTTTCTTCTAGGAGCTACGACAATCCCCCATCCAAAGAAGAAATTAATAACCTTGAGCAACAATGTGGCAACATACCTCTGAAGTTTTGTCAGGTAGAGAATGGACGAGTCAGTTTGTTTTCCTTCGACAAGGTGGAACTCCCTGCCTTGCCCTAAATTTTCTAGCTGGACACATCTTACAACTTCAGAGTTTACAGGAAAAACAACTCTCAAGACCTCTATTTTAACTGAAAGTAGCTCATGGAGTTGCAACTCCCTGAATGCAATGCCTGCTCCGCAGAATAACCTTTCTGTACTTCACACCTTATTGACAGCAGTTTTCAGGGTTGATTCTTCCCTGCACAGAATAGCTAATCGATGTATAATTTATGCCGCCTTTTTTTTTTTTTTCCGAGTCTTTAACTACGATTGTTGTCAATTTGTTTAATTTATATTCATTATTCAGCTAGTTTGAAAAACCTACAAAGCAAGATGAATCATTAGAAAAGAAGATTCTTGTTGTTGGATAATGTATATATAAAAAGAATATTATAATATAATTTA